CCTCCCTTCCTCCCTTCCTCCCTTCCTCCCTTCCTCCCTTCCTCCCTCCCTCCCTCCCTCCCTCCCTCCCTCCCTCCCTCCCTCCCTTCCTTCCTTCCTTCCTTCCTTCCTTCCTAAGGTGAATGTGTTATATTGGGGTTTTTGTTGTTGTTTTTCCTCTCTTTTTTCCCCAAGATGGAGGTGGGGAGGAGAGTCTGTGACACAGGTGTAACTTTGGCTGTAGACTAAGCTGGCCTCAAACACAAAGTTCTGCCTCCCTCTGCCTCCTGAGTGCTGGGATTAAAGGTCCATGCCACTACTGCTCAGCTAGTTCTTTCTTTTTATGTAATTAAAAACTTGTTTCATACAATATATTTTGATCATATTATTTTCCCTGTCCCAACTTCTCCCAGATCCTACCCACCTAACTTCATGGCCAGATAGATAGATAGATAGATGTCCAAAAATCAAAACAAACAAAAAATCAATAAGACAAAAATCAAACAAGCAAAAATCCCCCCAAAACAATAATCACAGAGTCTGTTTTATGTTGACCAACTGCTCCTATGCATTGTGCATGCCACAGAGTGTGGCTGATATCCAGTGACACTCCATTAAAGAAAACTGATTTTTCCCTTTTCTAGCAGGCATCAATAACAAATAGCTTTTGATTAGAAGTGGGACTCTATGTCTTCCTCCTTTTTGCAGTGCTGGGACTGTGATCTTGTGCCTGCTGTCACAGTCTGTGAGTTCATGTGTGTATCAGTGCTGTTATAGCTGGAAAACACAGTTTTCTAGAGTCATCCACTACCACTGGCTCTTATAATCTTTCTGCCACCTCTTCCATGCCCTTCTTGACAAAGAATATTCAGCTTAAGATCTCTTTTGTTTTGGTTACTGTGGCTACCAAAGGTTATGTATATCTATTTAAAATTTTTTAATTCAATTAATAAATGAATTTCTGCTTGCTGAGAACAATATATTAGGCACTGTGGTTTCCTATCTATAAACAATGTAAACTGCACCAAATATAGTCAGCACTTAATAACTATGGATTTGCATCTGTGTATTCAAGGAGCTTTAAAATATTTGTAAAAGACCAGGTGCAATAGAACAGGCCTATATGAAGAAGAAGAATCACTTAAGGCCTGGATTTCCACATCATCCTGAACAAAAGGAAGCTGTGTCATTCATCAGAAAATGAATGCAACTAGAGTTCATTGTATTAACCAAATTAATTCAGTTTTAGAAGACAAGTATAGTACAGCAGTGGTGGCTCACAACTTTAGCTGCAGCTCTTGAGAAACAGAGGCAGATCTCTGTGAGTCCAAGGCCAGCCTGGTCTACAAAGAGAGTTCCAGGACAATCAGGGCTATAAAGAGAGATCTTGTCTCAAAAACCAAAAACAGAAACACACATGTTTCCTGTCATTGATGGGCCTTAGACTTTATAGATACATAAAATCATCTATGTACTGAGAACATGAAAGTAGAAACAAGACAGACAGTTGTGGCACATGCCTTTAATCCCAGCACTCTGGAGGCAGAAGCAGGCAGATTTCTGTGAGTTCAAGGCCAACCTGGTCTACAGAGTGAGTTCCAGGACAGCCAGGGCTACACTGAGAGACCCTATGTCTTATTAATTAATTAATTAATTAATTAAGCTACAAACGGGAAAACAAAATGTACAGGAGGACGTACATAGATTATACAAACTCTGAAATTTCATATAAAGAACTTGAGCAATGAAGGATTAGGGAGAATCCTGGAAGCAATCCTCCATATATACCAAAGGTTGCTTACAAGAGATCAGTCAAAAGGTTAATAAATCAGAAGATAGATAATTAAATCTCCACACAAGGCATTTTTAACTTTCCATTACTAACAGAATTCACTAGCTATTTAGAGAATTAGTAAACAAAATCTCACAAACAATTATGCACTGTGGTATTTTCATAGTAACAGAAAAACAAGAGGCTTAGCTGAATTCTCAAGTGGATTTTCAAATCAGCAACAAAAAATCATCAAGTTTTTCTAAGGGGCCAGAGGCATATAACTCATTGACAGAATATATGCATAGCATGCCTGAAGCCCTGGGTTTAATCTTTAACACACACATACAGACTAATCATGATCAATTTAAAAATGAAGGACATAATTGGTAATACTGTTGCTATCTTTGCATGCAATATGCAATATGAATGAAATGCATAAGTTATTGGGTTCCGATAAATTCATTCAATAAACATTTAACAATAGCTAACAAGATATACTTCTCTCCCTTAAGGAGCTTTACAATCATTTTCACGCATGGTATATGTTAATACACATCTTTCAATCAACCAAGTTTTCAAAGTTATGTCATCTTAAAATAACAGTAACACACTCTAATTTTCCAATTGCTCGAAATATGGCGTAAAGAAGTTAACTTGCCCAATACCAACATCATTAAAAGCAAAGCCTCGAGCAGTATCAAGGCAACTACACTTCAACTGGCATCCAAACATCCAGAGAAAATAAAACCATAGCAGCAGTAGGGGTGCTGTTTGTTTGTTTTTGAGACAGGGTCTCTCACTGTGTAGCTTTGGCTAGCCTAGGACTTGCTATATAGACCAAGCTAGTCTCACAGAGATCTGTCTGCCTCTGCCACCCAAGTGCTGGGATTAATCATCTGTTGCAGAAAACCTGACACCTTCTGACCTCTGCAGGTGCCAGGCACACAGGTAGTGGATAGACAGACATGCAGTCAAAATACCTTACATATAAAATAAAAATAAGTTCATCTTTTTAAAATTAATTTCATCTATTTCTTTATACTGCTTAATGTGTCTACTAGAATATTTTAAATTAAATCTGTATCTCATTAATTTCCACTAGACATGGCTGGTATTGAGTAGAACTATATTTAAGATTTTTTTATACATATTTGGCAGTTTCATTATATATCCTAAGTGGGCCTCAAATTCACTATGTAATTCATGATACCCTTAAACTCAGAATCCTCCTGTGTTAACCTCTGGGAGTGTTGAGATTACAAGTATACACCACCACACCCAGCTCTATTTTCTGAAGAGCTTATGGAGTGAACAATCATAAATATATCAATAAAAGAAAATATAAACTTGGATATAATAAATCACAAGGGCATTTATATAACATCAATCTAAAGAAGCTAAAAGGGCAAAGGAAAAAAATAAGAATTTGTCTCCAAACTAACCATAAGAAAAGGTGTTATGTAAAGCCTGATGCTGCTGCTTGCTTACTCGAGGCCTGGTCTAATTATACTACCTAGGATGGCCTCAAACTAGCCTCCTATCTTACAGGAAATGCTTGGATGTGTGTGTTTGCGTGTGCGTGTGTGTATGTGTTTGTGCACATGCACTTGTAAGTGCATATGTGTAGCATGTCACCAGTATAGAGGTCAGAAGACAATCTTCCAGAATTGGTTATCTCCTTTTACCATGTGGGTTCCCAGGATCCACTCAGGTCATTAGGCTTGGTGGCAAGCATCTTTACTGGCTTAGCCATCTCACCTGCCGTTACAGTGACTTTTTTAAAACAATAAATAAATTTTAAATTTCTTAAAAATTTCTTAACTCCTTTATAGCCCTGAGGTTGAATGGCTTGTGGATAACAGCAGTTTTCTGAAAAGCTCATTTTACAAGCAGAACATACAGTGCTTAGTTGCCTTGATACTATAGAAGCAAATGTACTCCTTCCTCAAACCCTTACGACAACTTTTTTTTTTTTTTTTTTTTTTTTTGGTTTTTCGAGACAGGGTTTCTCTGTATAGCCCGGGCTGTCCTGGAACTCACTCTGTAGACCAGGCTGGCCTCGAACTCAGAAATCCGCCTGCCTCTGCCTCCCGAGTGCTGGGATTAAAGGCGTGCGGCACCACCGCCCGGTTTACGACAACTTTTTAAATGTACTTTTAACACAGTATTTTTCAGGTTAAACAGTATAATTCTACATCTCCTAGAATTCCTGAGAAACGCTATAGATTATGACCAGAATATAAGCTATGGATTGTAAATTTTGTTTCCTTACACTAGCTCATAAAAGGTTCCAAATATAGATTATTTATGGTACATAAATGGGAAAACTGGAGCACTGGCTACTCTGAAAAGACAAACTTAATAGACAAGCCTGCATGCGTATCTCTGCAGTGCGGGGCTTCCAACCCAGAGCTTTACATGTGGAAGGCAAACGCTGCCACAGAACTATCTCCCAGCTTGCTTTCTTTTTGTTTTGTTTTGCGAAACAAAATTTGAGGTATTGTTCCAGCGTCGGTCTTACAAATGCTGGGATTATAGGCCAGGTGTGGTGTTTGACACCTGCACTCTGGAAGCTAAGGTAGGAAGATTGCAAGTTTGAGGATAGCCCGAGCTACATAAAGTTCTAGGTCAGCCTGAGACACAGAGTAAAAACCCTCCCTCAAGAAGCCAAAAGTGGTGGCGCTTGCCTTTAATCCCAGCACTTGGGAGGCAGAAGCAGGCGGATTTCTGAGTTTGGGGCCAGCCTGGTCTACAGAGTGAGTTCCAGCACAGACAGAACTACACAGAGAAACCCTGTCTCGAAAAACCAAAAAAAAAAAAAAGAAGAAGAAGAAGCCAAAGAGGGGCTCTTCCAGTCTCTTTGGCCTCGGAGGTAGCAGCAACATGACAAAAGGAACGCGTCCTCTGGAAAGCGTCCCAATAAGACACCAACATTGTACCATCGGCCGCTGTGGCTCTAAGGACTACCACTTTCAGAAGTCAATCTATGTGACTACCCTGCCAAATGCAAGAGAAAGTATAACTGCAGTGCCAAGGCTAAGAGATGAAATACCACCGGGACTGGGTAGATGGGGCACCTAAAAATTGTCTATGGAAGATTCAGACATCGATTCCGTGAAGGAACAACACCTAAACACAAAAGGGCAGCTGTTGCAGCAACCAGTTCATCTTGAGGATTTCCTTCAGTCATAAATGTTACCATACAAAGCTTGGTTACCTCTAAACTCCATGAAACAAAGGTCAGCAAGGCCATCCATTTTTTAAATGTCTGGATCCAGCCTATGGAACAAGAATATATTTTAATATTCTGTCCTTTATTCTCTAATTTCGCAAAAAGACACTTTTCCCAGACAACTATATCCATTACTTATTACCTGAAAGTGCAGGGTGGTTGAGGAAGCTGGAAATCCAGGAGAACGTTGTTACGGAGGGAGGCTTCGGCTCTCCCGCGACCGAAAAGCTTGCTCGTCTCCGGCCGTTGGAGGCCGGAAGGTGAGAGTCAAGCTCTATCAGAGAGACACGCTCTGTGATTGGTCTGTCTGGCACGCACTGCCCCGCCCTCGTTGTGCAAACCGACTGAGTCACGCTCCGTGATTGGTCTGTTTCAGTGTTCAAACATTCTCGTGCGCATCCCATGGGCCCCCTTGCTCTTGGCGCCTTCTTTCCCGCCCTAACTTGTCCTTCCGCTAACGGTCACTGATTTGAAGCTACGCTTTCCGGTGTGACCCTGCCTTCCGTACCCCTCCACCATCATTTAAATGACCACCTTGGCCCCCCGTTCCGCTACCCACAAACCTGTCGTTCCAAAGATTCAGAGCATCTCTAAAAAGTATTGTCAAATGTCTGTTTCTTCTTGCTAGTTCTAAAACCTGGGCTGCAGATCTGGGGCCCCGAATTCGCTAACACACACAAGCCCTGGTGCTATAACGCACACACATATACAAGGCTGGAGCACTTCCTATTCACTAAACCTCTCGCCTGCTAAAACTATAGCCTTCAAATGTGTCTCACGCTCCTCTGGAGAGCAAAGCTCCTCCTCCTCCACTATGTCATCAAAAGCCACTCCCAATTGGCCTTTACCGCATATTGATCCTCTCCCTTGAAATCCTGTCTAGATTCTCTACACTGGATAAAACTAGAATGAGACTGTCAGGACAAGGTCTATGATGTAAGACCAGAAGTGCAAAGGACAGATGGCCAGGATTACAGAAAGAAAAGAACAAGAACTCACACACACGCACACTACAAAGAATGTGGAGGCGCAGTAGACAGCGCTGCTCAGTGTTTCAAACTGGCAAGGTATCCCAACACAGTAGCACAGGCTTGTAGTCTCAGCAGTCAGAGGCTAAAGCATGAAAATCCCTTGAGCCCAAGGCATTCTGGATCACCGGGGAAGCATAGTAAAACCCCAGCAAAGAAATAAGTTAAGTAGTGTCAAAATTCAGGAAAATAAAAAAATTGTGCGCTCTAGTCAGGGAGGCAGGGAGGATAACCGCGGACCTTCACATCTCTCTCCATTCCTCTGAGTCTCGATCCCCAAATCTCATCCCTGATTCTGTAGTGACCACCTCCTGCTGCCTCTCCTCACTCGCTACCTTCCTCTCCCGTTTCCAAGGGACTAACCAGATCCCATGGAAAACTGTGCTTTCATCCCTCCTATGGATAGCTTCACCTCGCCCTCCTAGCCCATCCCCATTCCTAAATGTCAGCTCCTAATGCCTAGAAAAACGTTTTGCCCGGAATCCTCAGTGGACATACCTCAGTCCAGCTTGGGACTGGGAGGAGAAGAGAGAGATGTGCCACGCTTTAGAAGAGTGGAGAGAAAGGAGAGACAAGTCTGCCATGGAGTAGAAAGGCAAGGAGAGTACCATACCCAGTTCTGGGCCAAGAAAATGGGGGCCAGATGGCTGACTAATTAGAGTTAAGAGCAGCCAAGATGGAACATAGGAATTAGTAAGTAGTAACTTGGAATTATTGGCAAGAGATAGATTCTAGCAGCATAGAGGCTAGGTAGTCACCCAGCTATTGTGCTGCTTAAGACATATTAAAATATAAAGGCCGTGTGTGTGTGTGTGTGTGTGTGTGTGTGTGTGTGTGTTTCATTCAAGAACATAAACCACTGAGGCAGGTAGCCTCTGAGTGTGAAAACCAGAAAACCAGTAAGTCTCTAGTTTTTGGTTTTGGTTTGGGTTTTGGTTTTGGTTTATGGGGACATGGTTTCTCTGTGTAGACTTTGGATGTCGTAGAACTCACTCTGTGGGGGGAGGGGGGAGGAGAGGGGGTGGGAAGGGGCACATCTGTGGACCAGGCTGACCTCAAATTCACAGAGATCCTCCTGCCTCTGCCTCCCAAGTGCTGGGATCAAAGGGATGTGCAATCACTAGCCAGATATTTTATTTTCTTCCTTAAAGCAAGAATTTGAAAAAAACTGAAAAAACTTTAGTCTCAGGATAGTTTAGCCCAACAGTTTAAGAGTACCGGCTACTCTCCAGAGGACCCAGGTAGGTCACCTCCATTCCCAGGGAATCAAAGTCCATAATCTGGCCCCCACAGGTATTGCACCCACATGGTACACATACATGCAGGCAAAACACTCACACACATAAAATAGCAATAATATTTTAATTTATAAACTTGTAGTTCCAATGCATATTTCTGTTGCTTTTGTTCTTATCAAATCTGATGTTTTGAATCTGACTTTAATGTAATCCAAGTACACTATGTGAGGCCAGTACCCTACTCTCTGACCTACATCTTCAGTACCTCCTATCAAATCTAAAACTACCTATTGCCTGCAGACTCATAGCAAGTTTATATATCCCATTGTGGTGGTTTGAATATGCTTGGCCCATGGGAAGTGACATTATTAGAAGGTGTGGCCTTTTGGGAGGAAGTATGTCACTGTAGGGGTGGGCTTTGAGACCTCCTAGCTTCCTGAAAGGCAATCTTCTCCTGGTTCCCTTTGGAACAAGATGCAGAACTCTCAGCTCCTTCTTTAGCACTATGTCTGCCTGGATGCTACCATGATTCCTGCCATAATAATAATGAACTGAACCTCTGAACTTTAAGCCAGCCCTAATTAAATGTTGACCCTTATAAGAATTGCCTTGGTCATGGTGTCTCTTTACAGTAAGAAGACCCTAAAATACCCATCAACCTTTAAATGGTTTTAGGTGGCATAGAATATATAAATAAGCTTGCCTCCACCTAATAGATACACAATGCCTGCAAGTAAGAAAAAGACTTGTACTGAAATGTCCATTAAGACAAGACACAGCCTCCAGATTTGCAGACAAACTGAATATCAACACATTAGTAATCATGTGGCAGATCCTGGCTTCCATCCCAAGTTCCCCCCCAAAAAATGTTTTAAATCATTAGCAAGGCTCTGAATTTTTTTTGTCACATGATAGAAACTTATATGGCATTCTTTTAAGCCCTATGCATCTCAATCAGCTTTGGGGTGGAGGATCATAACAAGATCATAGGCAGAGACCTAGATTCCTATTCTGAAAACATCAACGAAGTTCCCTCCTGACTCTGACAGTATCACAATCCACCATTATATATCAAAGAGGGAAACTAGGACATCTAAACTAATTTCTTTACCTTCTTCAAATTTCTCTGCACCTAGCCATGCATGGTAGCCCAAGCCTTTAATCCCAGGCACAGATCTCTGTGAGTTTGAAGCCAGAGTGAGACTATGGGTTTTGGGTTTTTTTGTTTTTTGTTTGTTTGTTTGTTTTTGTTTGGAGGTTTTGTTTTATTTTATTTTATTTTGGTTTCTGCATCTAAAGAACACAAAACAGTGAAGAAAGGTAAGACGGAAAACAGCAATCCTGCCTTTGCCTGCTGTTTTGCTTCCAAAAATGGTCAATTATAATCTAAAAATAAAGCACTGGAAACTTCTTAAATAATTTATAATTTTTGGTTGCTTTTATTTAAGAAGTTTATAATAAATATTGCCATAATTCTTCTAGCCTCTTTTGTGCATAATTTATAAATTACCTTTATCATAGATGTGAATATAGAAAAAAAAATACATAGTACGTAGGGTCCAGAACTGTCTACAGTTTTAATTATCCACTAGAGGCTTTGGAATGTAGTCTATGCAGATAAGGGACTATGATATTGTGACTAATGCCCCAGCTTCTATATCATCCTAGAGTTAACTAAATCTTCATGTATCACATAATGATAGCTTTGTGCTCTTAGAGTCCAGTTGTTCCAATCCAACCTAATGTCATCATCCACAAAATGAGAATAAAAGTAGTTCTAGACTTCTGCTTCAATGAATAATGTACATTTAAAATGTAGAATGGCGTTGCAAATAAAATACAGTAAATAACACCTGTCAGCTCCAATTATCACTTCCCATCTCCAGGTTGGTGAATTAAAGGCTTCCTAATGCCATCACCACATCTAGATTTTTAATTCAACTGTAGCTTCTTTATTAATAGATAAGCAGATTAAAAAAAAAACAGTGCATCTTAGAGCTCTTTTTTTTTTTTTTTTTTGGTTTTTCAAGTCATGGTTTCTCTGTGTAGCCCTGGCTGTCCTGGAACTCTGTAGATCAGGCTGGCCTCGAACTCAGAAATCTGCCTGCCTCTGCCTCCCAAGTGCTGGGATTAAAGGTGTGCGCCACCACTGCCCGGCTCATCTTAGAGCTCTTAACTCAATAATTATTTAGTGCTAGAAAAGGTATACATGGGGCTGGAGAGATGGCTCAGTGGTTAAGAGCACTGGCTGTTCCTTCAGAGGACCCAGGCTGAATTCCCAGCACCCACATGGCAGCCAGCTCACAACTGTCTGTAACTCCAGTTCCAGGAGATTTAATACCCACACACAAACATGTACGCCAATAAAACTCCAATGCAGACAAAATAAAGTCTTTTTTTGAGACAGAGTTTCTCTGTGTAGCCTTGACTATCCTGAAACTCGTTCTGTAGACCAGGCTAGCCTCAAACTGACAGATCCACCTGCCTCTGCCTCCCAAAAACTGGGAATATAAGTCATCTTTTAACAAAAAGAAATGGTATACAGAAATCACATAACTATTGGTTAATATTAATTGTAAACAGGACTACTGTAATGTCAGAGATCATACTGCACTGGAAAGATCAGGGAATAAAGGAAATACACAAAAAGATAGAAATTTGTATATTGCATGAGTAGCTCCAATTGTTTTTTACTCAATATGACCTCTTTAGATGTTTCACTAAGCATGCCATAGATCTTTCCTTGTCCTACAATAAAG